TCCCAGAATTCCCCAGCCAGCAAAGCTGGCTGGGGAATTCTGGGAGTTGAAGTCCACCCGTCCTAAAGTGGCCAAGTTGAACAACACTGGGCTAAACTGTATGATTTGTTTAATGTCAGGTTAGCAGCTTGTGTGAACCCCACCATCCCATTTTTAAACATGGCTTATGACTCAGGTCAGCGTGTGAGTCCGATCACCAGCTGGACACGTACCACTTGCTGAAGCCAGTGATCAGATTCCCAGGTTCCCCAAACCACCAACCACGCTTCGTATGTTGTACAAGAGCAGTTACGGGGTTTGTAAGTGATCTCTTTAAGCATATTCTGGGAATCCAGCCACTGAGGTGGATCATTTTACGTGGCCATGCCAGGGATTACATCTCTGCAAAGTATGACTGGATTCACGCATCAGGCTAAGACGTGGTTAACTAGATAAGCCACAATCAGCAGGGTTCACACAACCCACTAAGCTGAAACCCAACAAACCGCATTACCGTTTTGCCTGATCTGCAAATCTCAGTCTGTGAATTTTACTACTGAATTATGTTCTTTAACCTCAAGAAGCCTTCTTCTGGAACCAGCCAGAACACCCTTCGAAGTTCAGCTTGGCAACTGAAAACTCTCACTTTCCACACGGAGCTGCTAAGCCAGATTCACACAGAGCCTGGGCGTGCTTCTTTCCTTGCACCAACCTGCTTAAGTGTCAGAATCAGCCCGCTGGGCCCCCCCGAAATGGGGAAGGATGAGAGATGATGGGATTGCAGCAGTCCACCAACATTTGCACACCCACGTATTGCTGTACCTCTGAATTACAACAAGCAACGGCTCGTTTTCATCATGGATAACTGAACCAGCCACAAGGACTGGGATTACAAACCGTGCTCCGTCATCGGTCGCTGCTGGGTTGCAAGCTGGCCTACGATGTTTAAAAAAAGAAATCAATAAATACTGTAACTGACGAGAGGATGATTTACAATCTGTGTAAACCGTGCTGTGGTTTGTGGGATGTCTGAATGCACACTCTCTGTCTCGCAGGACGTCATGAAAAGCTTTGTGTTGCTTTGAGTAAAACGACAAGTAGAAAGTGAGACTTCCAGGGGTGTTCAAATTCTGGTGACTTTGTGAATACCTCGGGACGGTTTTCCTGCCAGTGGCATCAAAGGGGGTTGCCTTCATCCAGGGTGGCCTTTCAATTTCCCAGTTTACACGACAAACCTAGACTTTCCTAGTTAGTCTTCCATCTAAAGCAGTGTTTCTCAACCTCAGCCACTTTAAGAGGTGTGGACTTCAACTCCCGGAATCCCCCAGCCAGCACACTGGCTGG